TCAAGCTGGTCTCTCATTGAGGAATTCCGCTCGCTGCAGAGAGAGGCCAGCCGGCTGTCATTTTCTTAGCCCACACCACTACCATCCCCGTCCAACCCACACACCTTGGTCCTGTTCTCCGAACAGCCAACAACCTACAGACATCTTCAAGTCAAAGCACTTTCTTGACCCCGAGCAATCGCGCCTGCTCACATCTTTTCTGAGATTGACCGAGAATTCTTCGGCCGCTTCATATCTCAGTTTTCCAACCCGTACCGCGCCCCTTACCTAACTCTACCCATCTCACAGACGCCCCCATCTCATTACACCATACCCGCTCTCACTTTTGCCTCCACATACCCCCATTTCCCCCGTCTTCACGTCTCTTTCATGAACGGCCATCGCCATCATGTCAGACGTTGAGACACCGGAGCAGTCTTTTTCGACTCCGACGCCTCAGCTTACCCCCAAGGCCAAGGGCCGCGGTAGAGGCCGGGGCAGAAAAGCTGTCGCGCCCAAGAAGGAGCCTCCCAAACCCGTAGCCACAGCCGGCACTGGTCGACGCGGCCGCTTCAAGCAGTTCTCAGACGACAAAGTCCAGGCAAATTATGAACGGCAACGCGAGCTCAAGGCACAGTACGCGGCTCTCGCTAATGCCGTGAAGCCAGCGCTACAAGATCTGGCATCGCGCTCTATCGACACACTCACAAATGACAAGGACTACCACAAAACGGTGCCGGAATTCAAAGTCATCGAGGACAATCTCGGCGCTCGCTTTGAAAGATCCCTCCTTTACTTGGAGAACAAACTGGCGACTGCCGCCAGAACCGTCTTCAAGTCCAAACATGTCAAGCTCGGCGCCGTTCGCGATATTTTCAAGGTTCGTGAGGCCCCGACTGATATGTCATGTTTTTTTCCCTCTCCCCTGGTCCTCTGCTAACGTCACCCGCGGCATTAGAACGGAGTTGAAGATGCGGAAGACAGATTTTTGGATGCGCAGCTTCATCGCCTCAACCTTCTGGAATACCTTCATGATCATGGTCTTCCTGTTGACGTAAGTTCATTCTGTTCTTCATTCTATTTTTTCCTGCGTATCTCGGTTATTCACACTGGCCTCAGCTCGTCGATGCCGGCTGGAATTATAAGCAAATTTCGGACAAGGAAGCCCAAGAATTCGGCCTCTATGAAGTCTACGTTGACGGAGCACTCGTTCCCTATCCTCAACTCGTCGAAGGCACCGAAGCCCATGCCCTGAGACAGGCTGCTTGGGCGGAGCCACAGACGGCGAAGGAGACTTTGGCGCCGCCTTCCGCGGCAGCGACTGGAGGACGAGTCAGCAAGCGCAAAGCCAACCAACAACCAGATGGCCAGCCGGCCTCCAAGAGGTCTGCTGCCGATGTCGCGCCCGTCCGCCACATTGCTGGTATCATGTCGGCTCAGCATGCTCCCATTGAAGACGAATCGAATGAGAGCACGCCGGTACCTGAGGGTCCGTTGACCGCTGACCAGAGAGAGCCCGCCTTGCCAGCAAAGGCTTCAGAGCCAGATGAATACGGTTGCAGACAAGTCAATCGGCCGACAGCCAAGAATGGAGCGAGTATCGCGAATCGCCTCATTGTTCCTCCATCGTTCCAGTTCGACGACGACGAGATTGGATTCCGTGATTCCACCAACTCCCCTAGGCATGGAGCCACGCTCGCTAAGCGTGGAAAGTATCTCGGCAAGCCAAACTCGAACACCTGGCACTTTGATCCTCTGCTTGCTCGTTGGGATGCTAGAGACCTCGACGAAGAAGACTACGACTTGGAACTTGTCCAGAAGCACGGCACTCATCCCCGATTAGGTTGCTTCCTGCCCACGAGCAAAAATGACTCTGAGCCGCCAAAGCCAGAAGCAGAGCCGATGCATCCTACTGTTTTCCTTACTCCCTCAGGCAAGACCATCCACGCATCTCGTGTCGTCCCCGTTGCAAAGGTCGAGATTGCTCTAGCCGACAAGCCATACTCGGAAAGAATGGGTGCGATTCTCTCTTCCATCTGTGAAAAGGAAGACATCTCTCCCGAAGACATTGAGGGACCTGAGCTTAAGGCTCTTAAGGAAATCTCTGAAGAATATGCCGAGCAAAGACTCATCGCCGAGTCTATCAAGGAGTCCGAGCCCGCGAGCCTGGAGGATACGCCTGCCACTTCGCCCCTCCCTATGAACGACTCTGCCCTCAACATTGCTGGGTTGGAGGAGCTCGTCGTGGCTGCGGAAGCCGTCGAGGCGGAGGCCAAGGTCTTGGGATCTGTCGAAGAGAAGCCGGTGATCCTGCCCGCTCCGACCCCAGTCAGGCCTGCTACCCGTGCTTATGACGCTATTCGCGACATATTTGGAGGGTCCGAATCAGCTGCCGTTGAGCCTCCAGCTCCCGTCCTGGTGCCGGAACCTATTGACACTACTGCGCTCGTAATCCTCGCAGATGCGTCTACTTCCACCTACCCTACCCAGCCCGTCGACCTTGTCATGGCCGATGCTCCCATCAGCCAACCCATTCCAGTTGACGGTCCTCCACCTCCCCATTCCCATCATCATCACATCGACTCTGGTTATGTGGTTCAGCCCATTCCCGCTAAGTTCCGCATCCAGGCTGCACCTTCAAACGATAGTGTCGGCTGGATTGAACCACGAATCGCTTCACCAGGTGTTGACGGTCGGATTCACCAATCTATCGAAACTCCGTCGATGAGAGATCCGTACTCGAACCAATTACCCCCTGCTCGACCAGTCGAGATGTCTCAAATGAGGTCCTCGATTGACGCCACCAATGATACCCGCCGGCACTCCATGTACCACGAGCACAGCGCTCCTTCGGCCTACAACGAGCAGCACTTGCCTCATCCGCATAACCAGCAACACCTGCCGCAAGCAGACCCCATGATCGACCCGCGTCTTTACTCTGCGCCGATGGACGCGTCGGCCGCACATCATGAATATCAACAACAGGCTTACGGTCAGAGCCAGCAGGGCTACCAATTGCCCAGCATGCCTATGCAAGGAGGACCCATGGCACAAGCCTCTCCCCAGCTGCAACAATCTGGCTCCACATCTCGTATGCCATTCACGAACCCTTCTCAGGACAGGAGCTCGCCGCTTCCGCCCTTGCGACCGTCCCGTGGCCGCAAGAGTGCTCCCGCTGCACCAGAGCAGGGTGTTCAGATCGAGCAACATCAAATTCAGCAGCAGCAACAGCAACAGCAGCAGCAGCAACAACAGCCGCCGCCGCCACCTTACATGAGCACCAATAGCGGCTCGTTCTACCCCCCTGGTCCACCCAGGCCATACCACAATGGATACACACAGGAGCAGCCAGGTTTGCCGCCCATGATGAGCCAGTACCCACCCTACGCAGGCTCGCAACCTCCACCACCACCTTTGCAGCAGCAGCAACAGCAGCAACCGCCGCCTTATGGACATCCAGGCATGTCTCCCACTTACTCATCCATTGCCCCGGCACAAAGCCCTCCGAATCTTCAGTTCGTTCCGCAGCAACCCGGCGAACCGTCTAGAAGCCGGGCTGGAAGTGGCTCATCGACTCCAAGTGCACAGGGAAACAGCAAATACCCTAAGCTGGCCCCCGCCCCCCTGCCTGCTCACAGAGTAGGCTGGCCTCAAGGCCCTGAGCTGCGAACCGTTCAGTATGACTACAAGGAAAACATCAAAGACTATGCGCCTACGGAACCCCCTCCCCGTCGCGGCCCTGTTCAAATTCGGGGATGGAACATAAACAATAATAGGATCCAGCGCCAGAAGACAGATGAGAACGGCGACGAGCGACGCGGGTCCCGCTAGGAGCAGATTCTCACGTTGCCAGAGCTGAACCCAAGTAAGGAAGGTTTAACAGGCGCGGGAGTGAAGAAGCCGGCTGTCAAGAAGCCAGCCGCTAAGAAGACAGCTGCCAGGAAGACGACTACGAAGAAGGCGGTCGCTAAGAAGACAACTGCCAATAAGCCAGGTCCCAAGACAACCTGAATGGAATCCGAGAATCGTGTTACAAGCGGATCGGAACAAGCGAAAAGAGCATGTATTATTATCACATCACTTTGGACATTGATCTTCCACATATGAAGATCCTTTGTTCGCGTCATCCGTATGCGGATGAAAGACACAGAGAGAGAGAGAGAGAGAGAGGGCTGGGCTGAAAAGCCAGGTGGAGAAGCTCATTGAATGAAATTAGAGCTAGGGCCGAGAAGCCGGGGTCAATAGTGCCTCAGCATATTTGGAATGATAATGAATACGAAAAGAAGAATTGGTTTTGAGAAGGATGCTGCTGAGCGTTGCTTGTGAAGTGAAGTCATGGTTCATCTAGTTTCCGCGTTATCTCATGCGGCCCAGTAAGTGATGTTGCCTCATGGACGCTTCATATCCGCCAAGAAGCAGAGTGGTACCAAATGCTTTGGTCACTAGTCGAAGGTGAGCTCGTCGATTGCTTGGAGGCAAAATCGGAGAGCCACTATAAGTCTGTGTTTGTTTCTTGCTATTAATTTGGATTAGCTTATATGTTACTCTCAAGATCATCATACATACCTGACAGACGAAGTCGAGAATAGCTTCAGAGAGACGATTCTTATCGTCCATACATAGAGAGAGAGAGCACACAGCTGCTTGTTTGCTTACTCGAAAGGCCTTATTCACACTTCTCATAGAACTTCGCATAATCACTGCAGCCTTGCATGCTAGGAGAAAGCGGCATTGCTTGGAGTTCGCGAGGTCATTGAGGGAGGAACCGGAGTCACAGTTCTGGAAGTTTCATAAAGTTTCAACAGAAGAACATAATGCAAATGGAGCGTGAGCCTCTTCAATTTTGTGTTCTGATTACAGTGTATCTGATATTACATGTATCCGAGCCATTTTTGTTTTTTTCCGCACCGGCGAAAAGGGATGTTCAGGACGAATTTTCTCTGCCATCATCGCCGACCCCTCGCGAGAAACTGTTATACACATACACACAACCGCAAATGTCTAAACCACTGCCTGGCAGACTACTGCGTGAGGATCTGGTTGTTGAAGTCCACCGCACCATCCATGCTCATCATCATGCTGGGATCAGCAGGCATCAGGCCCCCGCCATTCGGCATGAGGCCGGCGGGAGCAGCGAGCGAGAGGAGGCCGCGTCCCAGCTCGCCGACGGGGTGGAGCGGGAGGACCGACGCCTCCATGGTGTTGCCGTCAAAGATGACCATGTTCTGGATGGGCTGCTGCGTCTGGCCGAGGACGTTGATGACGTCCTGCGCCAGCTGGCCTCCGAGAATGGCGGTGACGGGGGCCATCTCGCTGCCGATGTTTTGCAGGAAGCCGCGCAGGACCTCGGAGCGCAGCGTCTCCGAGGGCAGGCCGAGCTGGGCGTGCTTGGCCGTGGCGAGCTTGGTGAAGAGGCCGAGGTCCTCCTTTGTGTGGCTGGGGAGGCGGCCGCTGTTGAGCACCTGGAAGTCCCAGAGGGCGCGCAGGCACGAGATGACGGGGCTGACGGCCTTTTTCCTGCGCGCGCTCTTTGCGTACTCGTCGGGCAGGGTGGCGCCGTCGCTGGCGAGGTACCAGGTCGAGTAGAGCTCGCGCTTGGTCACCATCTCGATGGTCTTGCCGCCTTCCTTTTTGGTGTTGACGGCGACGACGCTGCGGGTCCGCGTCTCTGGCGCGAGCTTGGTGGCGATGTTGCCGAGGTCGCGCTCGATGACGTAGTCGTGCTCGATGAGGTCGGAGAAGACGAAGCCGTAGAGGCCCTGGGTGCCGGCGGCGTAAAAGGCGCGCTGGTGCAGGCGGGTGGCTGTGTTGATGATGTTGAGGGAGTCCGGGTCGAGGTCGGTGGCGATGACGATGTCGAACGCGGAGAAGTAGCTCGTGCCCTTGGACTTGATGCCCTCGGCGTCGACGTGGACGCGGACGCGCGGGTTGAGCTTCTGGATGGCGGCGGCGGCGGCCTGGGCGCGGTTCTGCCCGACGTGGTGCTCCTCTTCGGAGAGGAAGAACTGGGAGCCCAGATCTGATTCCGAGACGGGGGCGCCGTCGAGGATGGTGAGGGAGCCGATGCCGGCGAGGACAAGGTTCTTTGCGATTTCGTTGGCGAGGGCCTTCATTGTGATGAGGAGGATGTTGGCGTTGCGGATCTTTTCCTGGGCCTTTATGCCCCAGAGGCGGATTTGACGGTCGTAGAGCGCAATTTCATCTAGTAGAAACTGTCAGTTTGTCCGAACGGTCTCATGTAGGTAGATGGCTCAGGCCTACGTACCTGCGCTCATGCCCGGCGCCGGAGCTGGGATATTTGGAAGCATGTCGTTGCCCATGAAGATTTGCTGCTGTCCGTTCTGCTGGAGGATCTGAGGCATGAACATCTCGCCCGTGGGCAACATGCCGGGAAGGATGCCGGGCATGGCTCCGGGGATGACTTCCTGCAACGCTTCCGGGAGTACCTGGTCCATTGGCGCGGCTTGCATGCTAGGATCGAACCCGTTGGAGGGATTGGGAAAAGGCATGTGAGGCAGAGCGGTTTCCTGAGCTGGCGCGTTGCTACTCGGGGCCGCGGTTTCTTGTGCGGGTTGCTGTGCTGGCTGCTGCTGCGCCTGCGTCTCTTGCACCGGCGTCTCCTTCGTTTGCGTTTGCTCCTCCATGATGAAGTCGTGAGATAAGAGTGATGTCGATTGATGAGAATGTGTGGATCTAAAAAGAATATTGTCCTCGTATCATGTGGAATTGAGTCGCGAATCGTCAGGGCAGCTCAGTAAGTCATGCGCGTCGTCGTTTGGCTCGTGAGATGAGTTGGCGCAATGAAGCGAGAGTTGAGAGGTGAGACCGCGTCAAGTGAGATCGGTTTTGAGTCCGTCGTAAAAGATGTGAAGGGGGTATCGCAGGTTTCGCTCATCCAATGACGGAAGCAGCAAAAAAGAAATTGATGGATTTTCCAGAAGGAAAAATTCCAGACAGAAGGAAGTGATGGCGATATATGAGTATGACCTCTCACCTCACAAAGCAAGGCTGAGGACGGGATGGGTTCACTTTGAGGTCGAGGCTAAGGTACTTTAGGAGGCAGGTAATAGAGCAAGCTTCGACAAGGAAGGCAGCTTCGACAAAAGAATTGTTAACGCGGCGGCCCTGTTACGGTACCTAAAGTAGGTAGGTAAGGTAGGTACGTAGAACGCTCGCATGGAACGCAGTCCTCGGCGTCCCTAACACGGATAACGCGCTAAGGCCACGCTTAAGTGGTACCTTAGCTTAGCAGAGCGTTGCATACTAAGATGATGTATCCCGTAGCATTTTGGTGCCGACGCCCCTCTCTCCCCCGTTGCCTCACTGGTTCTTACAGGTACGAAACCCCGCGATGGGCAGGGCCAGGGGGGTCTCTCTTTAGCGGGTGCAGCAGGGCGATTCCACCGCTTTCACTGGCTGTCTGCTCATTTGTTCGCCTCCTATCGAGGGGGACTAGGAACAGAAATCCAAGCACCAGCAACAGCACCACCACCAGCGGTCAGCGGCACTTCAGTCCAACTCCAACTTGTATCATCAACCAACCATCTTTGCTTTTCCGCCGACCTGCTGACGACACAACCCGAGCTGCATCGACGGCCGTTCGCGCCAGCTCCGTCTGGCCCTCTTGTCTGCACTCATACTCTGCCCGCTTCTACCACCTACAGCACCAAAACCAAAGCTCCAGACTCCCACCACTCTTCGATTCACTACTTGCGACGAGGGTCAATACTGGGGCCAACGATCGCCCTTCGCGTACACTACCTTTGTTAGTGCAATCCCGGTGGATGGAGGAGGTTCAGCCTGTACGCCCAAGTTACACTCCCACGGGCGGCTACGCCTCTCATCCTCTTCTGTGCGACGATCTCGCCTTATCTGCTGGCTATTGACACTTCTACCCTCTTCTAGTCGCCGCCCCGATCGATAACCCTCTAGGTAGCTGGATCACGAATCTTTACTGCTCGGCCGCCTTCACTCGATCCCACTAAACCCCATAATTTCCACCCCTCGAACCGGCGCTCCCACTCTCGCCGTGGCCTATCTCACGTCGACAGTAACGAGCGCAGCACCAGGAGACTTTCACAGATCGGTTTGTCTCCTGGCGCGTGCGTCGCTAAGCCCTTGAAACCTTCGTCAACGAAGCATGTCGTCACAACGGCCAGACCCGAGCCAACGTATTCAGAGGCACGACGACGACGAAGACGACGACGGCTACCCGCCCCTGCCACCACACCGCAGGCTTCCTCCACTGCCGCCGATTTCTAGAGACACGAGTCGCCTCACCTTCTCCCCAAACACCACACGACGACATCCCTGGGAGCCTGAGCCTTACACTACGCAGGACCAAGCCGAAACCTACTACCAGCTCACGCGGCACATGGCTGATCGGAATTTTCAGGCCGAGTACGACGAGCTCGTGGGCAACAGTTTGAGTGGCTTCACGGCATTTATGTCTCAGGCGCAAGACGACTTTGGTTTCTCCCGAAACAACAGCCTTGGCTGGAGCCAAAACTCAAATTTGCTAGATATCTTGCAAAACGACCAGAACGACCAGCGAGACGACGACGATAACACCCGGCGCCAACCCCTCCAGTTGCCCCCAGTCTTTGGGTACAGAACTACCAGGACAATTAGCGGGCGTCAACGAACTGACGGCACGGAAGACGACTTGGAAGCAGTCAGAGCTCTGTGGAATAGGAGAGCCCAGTACAGCTCCTCACCCTTTTCGCCGCCCAGGATGCCTCCCAATCAATCCCCGCCAAATCTTTCGCCTCTACCTCCGTCGGAGGAATACCCGGAGGAGAATCGGAGGGTGAAGAGGAGAAAGCTGGACTCTGAACGAATTGCCCAGAGCTTCACGGGGTTTCGATATGGACGGTATGGCCAGGTCGAGTCAGGTCAACTAAAGATGGAAATCATGAGCTGTGATGGGGGACTGTATGAGAACGCCACCCTTCACGCCCACGAAAACATCCTCAAGGACGACAAGACTGTATACTGCACACAGTCTAATCGCTGCAACATCATTCTGCGGCACCAAGGTGGTACGGCTTTCAGCTTGAAGGAGCTTGTCATAAAGGCGCCGGCATCGAATTACTCTTCACCGTAAGTATCTCAAGTTTCCCCTATTTTCTGGGAGCTGTATCTAACAGATACATGTAGCGTACGGGAGGGTATGATCTTTGTCTCTATGAATCAGGATGAGCTTCTTAGACGAACGGCGGAATACGAAATACAATATGCTCCGCAGAGATCAGGTCGCACAACGGCTACCAGAGCACTAGCCCCGATAATCTCAATACGGCATCACGAAGACGGAACGACTGTAACGAGAACGCACACTCGGCAGAGACGGCTATACAGTCTGGGACACGATGACGATGAAAATGAGAGTCGGACAGCACAGATCCCGCCGGAATTCACCACACACTTGCCACCCTTCAACATCACCACCGAATGCAGTTATGAAGAGACCGACGATGATGATACGCCTAGAATCACTGCGAATCGAACTGCTCCCAATAGAATTGGGTCCTTGCCGTTTGAGAGTGACAGCAGCGACGACGGCAATCCATTTGCATCCGACTTTGAAGATTATTCCTTCACAAATCGGCGCCGTGACCCTACTGATATGTCACTGGCAGAGGCTGTTGAGGCGAATCAGATGGCAACGCAGGAGGCTGTTCGGGCTGTCAGTGGTGGACGTGGTCTCATGGCGCCGCATGCCAAGTTCTTTATTGAGAAGGACAAGAGCAAATGCACAATACGCTTTGATCCGCCAGTTGCTGGAAGGTTCATACTCTTGAAGATGTGGAGTAGCAGTCGTGCGGCTGGCAGCAATATCGATATACAAGCGGTCCTTGCCAAAGGATTCGCTGGACCGCGGTATTTTCCTTCAGTGGAGTTGAGATGAATGGGTGTGGTGGACCAGGGAATGAAAGGAAAGGGGTTTACGAAAACTTAATGACGGGAGGATAGTTCTATTCTCAGGATGACTTTCTCGACCAACACGTCGACGGCGTTCAGGTTCTGTGGCCAGCAATAGCTAGGCTGGTCAAGTGTGACTCGGAAGTCACTTATATTATACCAAGTGCGAATATACCAGGATTGGGAGATGATGTAAGAATTTCCATGTGCCTCTGAAAGTGCAGTGTATGATGTGACATACCTGACGCTGCAAGTCTGGTCCGCAAGTAGTTCTAAAGAGGTTTTGTACAAGGAACCGACTACCATCATATCCACAGCTCAAGAAGATGTGTTCCGTTATAGAAATGGGTTCTCAATGTTCAAAGACTTAAGAAAAAGACCCAGGTCGTTGTAAATGTGGTCGTTAGTCAGTCATGAATTGATTTCATTCTTACCTTTGATTCGACATTCCACACGAGCCCACCAATCGGCCGGCACCAATTGTCACTCAGCTAGCGCAAAACTCGGAGTGCACCACGCACCTCACACTTACACTCAACCAAGGGAATAGCCAAAGCAGAGTTTATCACCCTCGAGGCCATACTTTACACCCTCATTCTTTGGCGGATTATCCAGGTCTAGGGAACCACTTGTTTTTCAAAAGGCAGAACAGCGCTTAAAAAGGAGGAAGATCCACCAGAAAACCATCATGAGCCACGAACTCACGCTCATCGTCGCGGCGACGCGCAACATGGGCATCGGCGCCAAGGGCGGCCTGCCGTGGACGGGACTGAAGAAGGAGATGGCGTACTTTGCGCGCGTGACGAAGAGGCTTCCTCCGCAGGTACGTAGAAGGCCATATCTTCCTTCTCTTGCTCAACTCGCTTCATGGGAGATGGGAGTCTTGAACATTTTCTTGAAGCCTAGTCTCACTGGCGGCTATTGCGACATGATATCGCATGAGAACCTCATCACAGCGCACAAGTACCGTTCTACGGCTGACAAGACAATCGGGCACTAGGCACCCTCAGACGCCCTCAACGCCGTAATCATGGGCCGCAAGACGTGGGACAGCATCCCGCCCCGCTTCAGACCTCTCAAAGGCCGCCTCAACATCGTCATCAGCCGCTCTCACCCTGCTCCGTTGGACACTTCTTCTTCGGCTGCAGGTACGGACACGGCGGCGGTCACGGATTTCGAAAAGGACGCAGTGAAGGTCTCCTCGCTGGACCAGGCCCTCGCGTTCCTCCGCTCCGATGCCAGCGGAGCCGCGGCCGGCAAGCTGGGCAAGGTGTTTGTCATTGGCGGCGCGCAGATTTACGGCGCGGCGCTCGAGGTGCCCGAGGCCAAGAGGGTTCTGCTGACGAGGGTTATGGGGGAGTTTGAGTGTGATGCGTTTTTCCCGCTGAAACTTGGCGGCGAGGGCGAGGGGAGCGAATGGGCTCAGGTTGAGAAGAAGGGGCTTGACGAGTGGGTTGGGGAGGAGGTTGAGGGGGGTGAGATTGAGGAGAATGGGACAAGGTATGAGTTCCAGATGTGGGAGAAGATTTGATCTTGTAATCTTTGGGTCATGAATATTCTTTTCCCTTTTGCTCATCTCATAGTACAGGAAGGAGCGATAAGATGACTACATTTGCAAGGAAAGCTGAGTTGGATGGAATCTTATTCGTGATCCTCCATTCTGTCTGGGAACCTTTAATATGCGTTGGTGATTGTACAAAATTACAAGGCCTGCAGCATCTCCCTTCCCCATGCCAGGCTCTACAGTCTGCGACGTCCGTCAAATGCTATACATGATTCTCATCATCTTCCCCAAAAACCGATACACTGCGGCGACCCACGAATCGTTCAGAATGTCTGATCCGCTGCCATACGACTACCCTCCACCCTCTCTCTCTCTCTCTGAATCCTTCTATTGCGCCTTTACCGCCGCCTGCTCCTGGCCACCCCCAAGCTTCGCAACATCCCCCTTGACCTGCGGCCCAACAGCATCAACAAGAGCAAACATCTCCCTCACATCCCTCTTGAACACTTTAGCCGGCGCCACCAGAATGTCCTCCACGGGCGCCGCCTCGAGGTCCTGCAGCGTAGCGCGCATCCACCCGACCACGGCAGCGACCTGTCGCAGGTCGGCATCCTCGCGGCTCTTGAACAGGTTCCGCCACACGGCGGCGCCGAGGACCTTATCGTCCTTGACGACGCCCTCGTCGTAGGCGGCGATGAGGCCGCGCCACTGGACAAAGATTTCCTTGAGGTAGCGCTGGCGGAGGGCGGACGAGGTCATGCCGTGGTTGAGGTGCATCATGCGCTCGCAGTCGAAGAAGAACTGGTCGATGAACTGGTGCTGCAGGTTGCGGGAGCTGTCGCGGTCGAGGCAGCGCAGGCGGGCGAGGACGAGGTACATGTGCAGCATCGTGGCTTGGGACCAGGAGCTGAAACCCGGTTGGAGGTCGAGGACTGTTGTGTTGGTAGATGTGTCAGTATCACTGCGATTACAACTCAAACATGGGAGGGATGGGAGGCAGAGAGGAAATAGTTAAAACGCACATTGCAACCACGGCCCAATGGGGTCTCCAACCTCCTCCCCCTCGGCCGTCATGCGCACCATATCCTTGGCGCGCTCCTGCTCCGAGATCTTGTACAGCGCCGGCGACGAACAGATCTTGTATAGCGCCTCGAGGCGGGAGGTGGTCAGGGTCGCGGCCATGGTCTTTGGCGCGGCGGCCATCATGCCCGACGCAATGGCCTGCTTGAGTCCGCCGGACGACGGCGCCGCGTCCCGCCGCGTCGCCGTCTGGCTGAAGTGCCTCCTTCCCGTCGTGGTAGTCGCGGCTGGGCCACCGGTCTTGGTTGTCGTCAGTGCCGCCGCTCGGCGCGCCGTCGCGGCGATGGATGTCTGCTGGGACGGCGATGCGGACGCCAGGTCGGCGGTGGCGCGTAGGCTCCGGGCTAGGAGTCTTGCCTGGTATCGGCAGCTTTGGCAGGCCATCTTGAAGGTTATTGCTGATTCGGGATATCAGGGATATCAGAGAAAGGACCGGGTTCCGTGTCTTATCTCGGAATGTCGCGTGGGTGATGGGTGTAAAGGGGGTCGTCGATTGATTCGAAAGTGTATGCGGTCAATCGAGGTCTCGTGTGCCGGAGAATCGGGGTATTGGACGTTGACCAGCAGCTTGGGCCCAGAAACGCGGAGCTCACCAAAAGTCTGGACGTCATCCAAAAAAAAGTTCATGAACACATCGAATGGGAAATTTCGAGCTAGCACATGCCAGGCCGGCGGAACTTCGGGCCATGTCCACCACGCCTGCGTACCGTGCTTATCTCGAAGACTAGACACTGTAGGCAAACACCATTCAGCTTCTTTGGATTGACAATGCAACGACGCTCAATTACCTTGACTTCGATCTTGGCGTTTTGCATGCTGTAGTTTAGAAACAGAAATCGGCTACTTTTCTTCCCCCCAAGGTGTCGTCGAACTTCATGGACGGCCCATAAAGCGCACTTTCTCACAATGAGCCTTATTCAAGGCTCGTTACTTCGCACCTAAAGTCATTCAGAGCCTTGGGAACGCTCATATCTGATGTTAGGGCAGAGATTAAGCTCGTAGTGGCCGCGTACGTATGTCGGCAATTCTATCTCCTACAATTCTCGTAACCAATCATACATCGAGTCTTACAATGCGAAGCTTTCCATAAAGCCTCTCTTATGGTGTGCCCAAAGTCTGAGTCTAAGCCAGAGCCAATTTAGACATTTCGCGGGCGCAGCCGTCATCGCATGGTTATTCTGATTCTATCGGCACGGCTGTCCTCATTTAACGCACTTTGGAAAAAACCAGCGAGGCATTCGTCCCGCCAAAGCCAAAGCTGTTGGAAATAGCAACGTTAACCTGTTTCGCTTGTGCCTCGAGGGGTACCATATTCATGGATCCCCCGACATTTGGATTCTCGAGGTTCAGCGTAGGCGGCACGATATCCTTTTGATTAAGAGTCAGAGGAAAACATTCGGTCGGGCAGAAAAAGACCAAAAAAAGTCTGGGGAAGATAAGGTTCTGGTTTCAGAAACCAAATAGCCGCGACTCACCTCTGCAACCGATAGCACGGCGAACAGGGCCTCGATGGCGCCAGCCGCCCCTAGCAGATGGCCAACGGCACCTTTGGTGCTGCTCACAGTCACCTGCGACTCGTCCGCGTAACCCTCCTCGCCTGTCATGATGCTTCGTATCGCGGAGGCTTCTGCCGCATCGCCGACCTGTGTCCCTGTTGCATGCGCGTTGATGTAGCTCACCTCGGCCGGTCGAACTTCCGCGTTCTTCAGAGCAAGCTTCATGGCGCGGAATGCTCCGTGTCCGTCTTCCCGCGGGGCCGTCATGTGATGCGCGTCGCCGCTGCACCCGTAGCCCCTCACCTCCGCGTAGATGTTGGCTCCGCGGGCCTTGGCGTGCTGGAGTTCCTCCAGGACAAGGACTGCCGACCCCTCCGAAACGACGAAACCATTTCGGTCGCGATCGAAGGGACGACAGCTGGCGTGGGGGTGGTGGTTGTAAGCTGTGGAGAGGGACCTTGCCCTCCCGAAACCAGCAAAGGTCAGGGGATGGATGCAGGATTCCGTTCCGCCGGCAACCATGACGTCGGCATCACCAAAAGCAATGAATCGCATCGCATCTCCAATGGAATGAGCACCAGTTGTACAGGCGGTTGTGACGGAATGGTTGGGGCCTTGCAATCCGTACTTCATTGATATATGGCCGGCGGCCAAGTTGATGAGAATCTTGGGAACGAAGAGTGGTGAAACCTTCTTGTAGCCCTACCAGAACAGACTTTAGCTTGGCTTCGCTTGTCGATCACTGCAGCGAGATCTCACTTGTTGGTTGAAGGCCAAGCTCGTCTCGTAAATTTCCTCGAGATTTCCTATACCGCTGCCAAGACACACGCCCGTGGCCTCCTTGTCCTCTTGGCTCTGCGGATTCCACCCGGCATCTTTCATTGCCATGTCGGCGCATGCTACGGCGTACTGGGCAAACTTGGACATGCGACGTTGTTCCGTGGCGTCCAGCCAGTCACCCGGCCGCCACTGATCGGGACCTGAGCCATGACTGGGGACTACGCCAGCAACTGTGCTCGTCAGATCTTTCCAGCGGCTTCGCGGCTCAAAGTCAGCCACACTGGTGATGGCAGATTCTCCAGCCAACAGACGTTTCCACGTGGTACGCACGCCAACACCGAAGGGCGAAATGGCGCCGAGCCCTGTCACGACAACTCGTCGCATGACTCTTGTGCCATAGCCAGGGTCAATATCTGTGTGTCGTTTTGAGTTACAGACGCACCGACATGTAAATGGGGGGAATAAGGTAGCAAACGACAAAGTGGAAAGGGCGGGGATGAAAAGGGGAGAGGCTGCGCTGGGGCGATGTGTCTATCGCAGGTAGGGATGATGGTGATTTGGTACGGTAGGGTCCTCCGTGTCAATGGCTAAGCCGGCAGCGATGGTGAAGGACGGTTGTGCGGTCTGTAGGACAGGTGAAGTCGGAACAATGTTACGGATAGGTTAGTAGAGATGTAGGAAAAACCGCGGTCGGGTCGCTTCTGCTGCGCCGCACAGATGCAGTTTAGCGCGTTCTTGATGGGAGAGTACGTACCGGCACTCGCTACGGTGAGGTGTCGATAAGTGCAGATTGTCGACCTGTCGCTGCAGGGGCTGCATGCAAACACTGTGCTGTCAGGGGCTGTCAAAGCGAACAACGTACAGCTAAAAAGGGGGCTTTTTGGTGCTGAGGACACAGTGTCGGAATCTCAGTAGCGTAAGGTATGGATGGTACCTTATCTTGAGTTCCATTGACCCCCTTTTGGGCGAAATGCCCTGGGCCTAAATGGCGGCGGGGGACAAGTGCAGCGGGAAGCGGGGGACACTAACGTCGCCTCAATGGGGGTTTTGGGTCTGGAATTCTGGATTCAGCCTCTTAGGTGTCAGATGATTGGCTGGAACCGGGGACCTTGGCCTCTGCGTCGGAAACGCAACGCAACGCTGCGCAACGACACACGTTGCGACTGGCGCATGTGCTCTCACTCTCACTCACTCTTTCTTTCCCATCTTTCTCTTGACGTACAGTAGTCTCCCACAAGCCGACGCTGCTTCCATGTAAAAGAAGCTTTTCTTAACTTGCTTCTTTATTGCAGCCTCATGAGACTGGGAGGTGACATCCTCTACCGCACCATCGGATCATCCTGCTCAACCTCACTCCAGGAGGTGAACTAGTCCAGCCATTCAAAGATCGCCAATCCCTGGAAGACGACATCTCATCTCACCAACCGTTCCATTGAGCCACGTTTCAGACATCGACGTCTTCCCGGCATTCCAAATCGTTATCATCGCCAGGTTGAGCAGCCAAGAGAAACAAACGAGCCCGCCAGGAACACAGGAACACACACCAACAGAGGGCACACTCGGAAGCTTGGCCATCCCGCCTTGCAGGGTCTCCCATCGCATTTCGGCATCTGCAAAACTCAACGTCCGCCTTCATCAAGTCCATCCCCGCAAACTTGCGGCTCTGTATCCGGGCCTCGAGTCGCCACACCACACTGCATCTGTGCTGAGTTGTGCCGCAGCTTGGTTTCAGCGTCGCATTTGTTTCCCTTCTTATCATCAATGACCACTCGTCCTATGAGAACTCTGCAACCACTTCGATCCCAATCTTCTTGTCCGAGCAGTGTCACCAGTCGGGAAACTCGCCTTCCTTGAGACTAGCCCCCATTCATGCCTTTGCCCTCGTCTTTCCCTCGACTTCTCTGGCCGTCCGATCATCCCACAGCATCACACCCCTCCACCATTATTCGCTCCAGTCATCGCCCTCACTCACCCTCGCCATCCTTTAGTCTGATCCCAGTCTGCGGATCGCCCGTCCTTTCTTGCCGAGCATCACCCTGTTTCCTGAGAGCACGGGGTCGGCCCTCCTGCGTACCAGGCACTACTAAGCACCTGCGAGGTTGATTCATTCGAGTCCCAGGTCCAATCACGCCACACTCACTGTAGGCCTCGAAAGAGACTCTGTACATACCAGAGGCTTATCGAGTACAACCAGAGGCTCATTTTTAGCCTTTGCTTCATGTTGGTCTGGGATCGGCGCTCGTAGCTCGTACCTCTGCGGGTTCCCGTCTCCCGCCTCTCACACACACACTCTCTCTCCTAACGCCATCCGCCTAGACACTTTAGACTCTCTCCCCTATATAGAAACCCACTGCCTCCTCCTGCTTTTGGACGTTTTGACCCTGTCGTCGATGATTGTGCTCCCACACTCCTGGGAATACTTTCAACATGCCCCAACCATCTAATGGCAAGTCGTCTGGTACGGCTTCAGGACCCATGATGGCGGACAACGATCGCGGGCTCGATACCAAAGCGGAGGTGGAGGTCAGTGGGCGCGAGATCAATCCCGCCGACTCTACCACCTCAAGATTCTCAGACCGTGACCCGGTCGAGGACTTGAAAGAGAGGCTCTCGCAATGGGGTGAGTCAAGTGTCTATCACGGCTATGATGATGAAGATGAGCAAGGGTCCGAACATGAACTTCTCTTAGATCCGAATCTGCCCGAAGAGTACGAGACGAGAATTCGTAACGCGGCATCGACGCCAATCGAAGAGGTCGACGATGAGCTGGCTATGAAGAGGGAGGAGGAGGAGGACTCACCGTATCCCGAAGTACGCGCAGCCGTTCGCAACTACGACGAAGATATGCCCTGCAACACCATCCGAGCCTGGACTATCGGTCTCATGTTGGTCACTGTTGGTGCCTCAATGAACACCTTGTTCTCACTACGACAGCCTTCCATCGGTCTTGGTCCTCTAATTGCGCAGATTATTGCATGGCCTATCGGTCAGGGTTGGGCCAAGGTGATGCCTACGAAGCAGTTCAAGACCTTTGGCATCAAGTGGAGCTTGAACCCGGGACCGTTCAACATCAAGGAGCACTCCATCATTGTCGTGATGGCTGGTGTCTCCTTTTCGGTTGCATACGCTACCGACATTATCCTGGCCCAGCTGGTGTTTTACAAGCAAGACTTTGGCATCGTCTTTCAACTGCTTCTCACCATTTCCACTCAGTCCTTGGGTTACGGAATTGCCGGCATCATGCGAAAGTTCCTCGGTGCGTACTCGTCAAGAAATTTCAGATTTAGGCTCGCTAACCTTACTATCAGTCTATCCGGCTGCTATGATCTGGCCCGGAAACTTGGTCTCCGTCACTTTGATGAATGCCATGTACGAGACGAATGACAGACCCGATCCCACTTTCATTGGTGGCAGCATGCCTCGATACAAGTGGTTCGGTATCATTGTTCTTGGCTCATTCTGCTACTATTGGATCCCCGGCTTCCTCGCGCAATTCCTTAGTATCATGGCATTCGCCACCTGGATTGCCCCGAACAATGTTATCATCAACCAGCTATTTGGTGGAACGAGTGGTCTGTCACTTCTGCCGTTGACTCTCGACTGGACTCAGATTTCCGGATTCGTTGGCTCCCCGCTCATTCCCCCATGGCACGCCATTGCCAACACCCTCATCGGTGTTGTCACCTTCTTCATCATCGGCTGCTCCGTCTTCCACTACAGCGGTGTGTGGTACGCTCAGTTCCTGCCCATGAGCGACTCGGGCACGTACGACAACACGGGTAACCCGTACAACACGTCTCGCATCCTTACCCCTCAGCTCACACTGAACGAGGAGGCGTACAAGAACTATTCACCGCTGTTCATCAGCACCACGTTCGCCATGTCGTACGGTCTGTCATTCGCTGCCATCGCTTCTTTGATCGTCTACACCTATCTGCACAACGGAAAGCAGATTTGGGCCCAGTACAGGAACAGCAACAAGGAGCAGCCCGATATCCACATGAAGCTCATGAGGAAGTACAAGGAGGCGCCGACTTGGTGGTACATGGGCCTCTTCGTGATCGTAAGTAACTTTGCTGGATTTTGTGGTCCGTCATCATGCACTAACACGCGTGCAGATGCTTGGTCTAGGTTTCGTGACTGTTCTGTACTACCCGACCAACCTGACCTGGTGGGCCTTCCTTTTGGCGGTGGCCATTTCGTTCGGCTTCTCGCTGCCCATTGGCATTATTCAGGCTGTCACGAACAACCAGATTGGTCTGAATGTGTTGACGGAGTTCATCTACGGCTACATCCAACCTGGGCGACCTCTCGCACTCATGATGTGAGTTACACTGTGTTCTAATCGACTTTCATCGACTCGTTTTGTGCTGACAAGTTACACAGCTTCAAGACTTTTGGCTACATCACCATGTCCCAGTCCCTCAGCTTCGTCTCTGACTTGAAGTTTGGCCATTACATGAAGATCCCGCCAAGAACCATGTTCATGTGCCAAGTCGTCGCAACCACCTTCTCCTGCTTCATCCAGATCGCCGTGCTCAACGCCGCGTTGAAGAACATCCCCGATGTCTGCACGCCGCACCAGGAGAACAAGTTCTCTTGCCCGGGCGGCCGCGTCTTCTTTGCCGGTACGTCGTCCCTACCCCTCAACCCACTCCCTCCCGTATCACAAAACTAACAGCCCCCGTCCACAGCATCCGTAATTTGGGGTCTCATCGGTCCCGCCCGCATGTTTTCCCCGGGCCAAGTCTACTCCGGCCTTTTCATCTTCTTCGGCCTCGGCGCCATCCTCCCCGTAATCTTCTACTTCGCCGCTCTCAAGTGGCCCAAGTCTCCCGTCAAGTACCTCATGGCGCCCCTCATCTTTGGCGGTGCCGGCGCCATCCCTCCCGCGACGCCCCTCAACTACCTCTCCTGGGGCATCGTCGGCTACGTCTTCCAGCACCACATTCGCAAGAAGCATTTTGGCTGGTGGTCGCGCCTCAACTACCTCACCTCGTCGGGTCTCGACCTCGGCCTGGCGCTCGCCACGCTCGTCATCTTCTTGGCTTTCACGCTTAACAAAATTGAGCCGCCTAAATGGTGGGGTAACGATATCGTGACTGCAACGATGGACGCGCAGGGCACGGCTATCCAGGCGACGCCCGCGCCTGGAACAAAGTTTGGTCCGACAAGCTGGTGAGTATCGACAATAGCTTTCGGCGTCAAAATAGGTTTGAAATAGGGACTTGTATCACTAAAGAGCCATAAAACAAGGGAACACTAGGAGAGAGACATGGGGACATGTCCCATGTTCCATGTGGCTCCTGCCTATCCCCCCCCCCCCCCCCCCCCCCCTCACGCCCGGGGGTTACGTTGTCCCAAACGCGACAATACGACGGGTG